ATTTTGAAGGGACTATGCAGAGGCCTTTGGAAGCCTTAGCTAACCACATGCTTATTTATGGCTGGATTTGCTTTTCTGTCTTCAGGGTTGCCGCTCTCTTGCAGGAGGACATCCTGGATATGTCAGCCACGACAAAGAAACTTCCATCAAGTACGTCAGTCACCAGCACCCAAACCACCCCCAGCTGTTCAGCATCGTGCGCCAGGCCTGCGTTCGCAGTCTGAGCTGTGAGGTAACTGTCACGGAGTACAGGGAGAAAACCTGGTGTTATTTCACATCCAAGATAGTGCTTTGCTGATCCTGGCTGCTCTGTGCAGCCTGAAACAGGGAGGGAATGGAGGCAGAAAGACAGACACACAAGTCTGTTCATCCCAGGATTGGTAGGAATTTTTAAAGTTCATCTTTGATAACCTCAAGGGTTCCTTTGTGTTGCCTTGTGAGACCAAGAATTTCCCTTTCTTATTTTTGCTCCTCTGTCATTATTGTTTTTCTTTGTAAAATAAACTGGTTTTATAAAAACATTGGAGCTGTTGTTTAGTGCCAAGAAATATTTGATCTTTGTAGACCATTAAGATTCAGCTTCTCATAGAAGTGAAGGGAGAACCTTACAGATTAATGAGCATTTCTGTGTCAGGATCAGCAAAATCCCTTGTGGATTTTCAACAGTATCTTGGTTGAATACAGCTGAATTCTTAAAATACAGTTAAATTGAAGGGTTTGTAGTGTTTGTTGGATAACTCTGGAGGTCTGTTTGACCACATGTTCTGGACAGTACCCTAAAAAAGGCTTATTTTATTCACCAAGTGTGTGTTAAAGAGCAGGAAGCTTTGTTCAGTTTATTACCATTTCAGCTGTGTGACGTGCTTGACTACTTTGGTGTATGTGTTCCTCCCCTTCAGGTCTGCCCAGGACGTGAAGGCCCTATTTTTTTCGGAGATGAACAGCATGGTTTTGTGTTCAGCCACACCTTCTTTATCAAAGACAGCCTGGCTCGAGGTTTCCAGCGCTGGTACAGCATCATCACTATCATGATGGACCGGATTTACCTCATCAACTCCTGGCCTTTCTTGTTGGGAAAAATCAGAGGCATCATTGATGAGCTTCAGGGCAAAGCACTTAAGGTAGGTCAGTGCACGGAGTCTGTTTGACTCAGTGTTAGTAAAACATGATGATAGCTGATTTACAGCTGAGGCAAAAAGCTGATCCAGCTCATTGCAGCCCGGGTGGTTGTTAAGGTTGACACAAGGGACGAGAGGTTGGTGCGTATCTGGGGGTGTAGGAGAGAAGGAACAGGGTGCCTCCGTCATTTGAAGATGGTCATCATACACTTTTTACAGACTTAACTGCTAAGACAATAGCTCTGTTAGAAATTTAAGTAACTAAAGTTGTGAAGGACAGTAATTTGGAGCACAAGTGTAACTTAATGATAATTTTAGTCAATCTAAGGACAAGATGTCCCTTCCCTCTCTTTTCCCATAAATTACAACGTATTTTGGATGATTGTGTGTGACACACCCTTTTCACTTTGTTTTGTTTTGTTTGGGCTTTTTTGTCTCAGCTTTATACAAGTATTTTATCTTTTTCAATCTCTTACATTCCCCTTCTTCTATGGTGTAGGTGTTTGAAGCAGAGCAGTATGGGTGCCCTCAGCGTGCCCAGCGGATGAACACAGCCTTCACTCCCTTCCTGCACCAGCGCAATGGCAACGCAGCCCGCTCCTTAACATCGCTGACCAACGATGAAAACCTGTGGGCATGTTTGCATACTTCCTTTGCTTGGTAATGCCACTCGTGTTTCTACCTTCTACAGCTCCTTTGTGAAGAGAGTATTGCTGTATGCTGAAAGAGTTGAAATGTGATTTGAGTGCTTGGGTATTTTTTTTCTTGAGGTAGTGAGTTGGACTTTGCTAAGTAGTCTCTGAATTGGAGGGTGCTAAGCATAGAAGGAGGGCAGCCTGCTGATGCATTTAGGACAAAAAAACCCTATGGTTGCTGTGAAGTAAACCTACTGATGTGGCTGCTCGTGGAAACCATGTTGATCTCGATGGAAAGTATAAATATAAGTATGGAAGAAGGCAAGAAAAGACGCTTCTACCTCCAGCTTGTTGTACCTCGGATTCACACGTGAAGTACGGTGGTTGTTCACCTGGAAGTGCCTGTGTATTGTGATAGGCAGCGTGGGAGGTGGTGCAGTAGTATGTCTGTGGGAGTCCAGTTGCTCCAGTGCCTGACTTGCTCATCAGACTTCCCTGGAAGGATGCCACAGAGAGGGTTGCAACACTGGCATGTGACTTAGATAAGTATATTGCATGAAGTACTTGCAAAATGGTGGGCTTTCTAGTGACTTTGAGTGGCAGCAGTTGTAGGATGTGTTGGTAGTTACCACACCAAGGAAAGCACAGAGATGGGTTGAAAAGAAACAGATTGGTTAATGGTTGGTTTTGGGGTTTTTTTGTTGTGCTCATCACACCAAGTTCTGGATCTTTTTTCACCTAGGAAACAGGCTTAATGGTCACTACTTCTGTTTCTCTCAATGCCTCCAGGCTTTTGAAAGCTTGTGGCAGCCGACTTACAGAGAAGCTTCTGGAGGGAGCACCGACAGAAGACACCCTCGTTCAGATGGAGAAACTTGCAGGTGAGATAGAAGTTTCCAGAGCTGGAAGATGCTCTGAGAATGTTTTCGATGGTAAAACACCAAATCCTTTTGTCAGCATCATCGTGCAGCCATCTCTCTTAGACTTTACCTTAGTGGCAGTCTCTGCAGTAGCTGACGTGCTCTCCCATAATCAGATGACTCTGACAGGAGTAAGAAATCAAGGCCCTTGGCCTCGTAGGCTCTCTGCATGCACACGTGGTGTTTGTTACTTCTGTAGGAGTGTTGCATCATCATGATTATTGTTCTCTCTGGCTGGGTTGGCCCTCCCAATGAAAATCTCTATGGCCAGAAGAATTTGCAGTCACAATGCAGGGGCTTCTTGCTCCTTTTTCTACGGAAATTAAGGGATCATATTTTTTTTCCCTTGCATTGAATTATTTTTATTAATCCATTTAGACTAAAATCTACAAAACCTGCTTCAAAGCTTTGGCCATGACCTTTAAAGCAAGAATAGAGAACTCATAGATGGTCGAAATAGCTGTGTGTCCTGTAAATGAACATTCCTTCTTAGCCCTTCAGTGGTTATTATATATCTGAACTATGAAACTTCGTTAATGCCTCAGGTCTGTCTGTGACACCAGTACTTTCAGTTACTGTGTTGGAACTCTTGTCTCCCCACGTAGAGCCACAATCAATTGGCTGCAGTGTCTGTGGGCACTTCTGAGGCAGTTCCCATGCCTGGAAAGCAGCAGTTTTACATTTTTTTGCTAGACCTGAAAGAAGAGTCAGAAGGCTGGGATGGTTCTGAGGAAGAAGAGAAGCCTTCTTCCCAGCCAGATGTTGTGGAAGGACAGGAGCTATCTAAATGCTCACCTGAAACATCCCTGATGCCAGATTGCAACAGCTGGAATGTAGCTCACAGAAGGTTGTCTGTCTTTCGTTCTCTCAGGCATATGAGACAGGTAAGAGAGGAGCACAGTTATGCCCAGTTCACAAGCCAATAACTTCTTTTCTCCTGATAATGTTTTTTTGAAAAGATATATTTTATTTATATTTTATTTCCTGCAGTTTGCACTTCTTTCCTGGTTCTGTGTTTAACACAGTGCCTACACAGCTGGTAACACGGTGTTAACTGTATCTCTGAGGGCTCTCCCTTCCCCTGAGATCACGAGGCCTCTGGTGATCATTGGTCATGTGGGATGGGATCATATGATTTCTCTCAAATTCTCCACTTTCCTTCTTCCCAAGAGCAGTGACAGTAATTTAATACAGAGCTCATGCAGCGTCTTCAAAGCCAAGTATTATTTGCTTAAAACAAAAGTATTTTGGGGGGGGGGAAATCAGTTCTAAACAAAACAAATGGTTCTGTCCAAAACTGGATATTTCACTAATTTTCATGACCAGTGCTCAGTGTTTTCAGTTGTATTTTTGGTTTTTGTTTTGCTTTTTTTTTCCCAGGTTCTTGGGGCATCAGCATTCCGTATGCTGGCTTGGCATGTTCTGATGGGGAACCAGGTCATCTGGAAAGCTCGAGATGCAGATCTTGTCCAGTCTGCTTTTGACGTGCTACGGGTAGAAACATTTTCCTCTGTTTCCTGGCTGCTTATTTTTACAAACGTTTTTCTAGTAGTCCAGCCTTCATAATGACCTGTCTCTGACATGTAATCTTGTGGAGAATGTGTTCTAAATTACGTGGTTTTGAAAATAAACCAACTAAACAAAAAAACCCTCTACCTTTGGATGCTTGGTTGTCCTCAGCAGCTGCATACTCTTTCAAGCTGAGTAGGATATTTCTGATCCCCCAAATCAGGAGCATCTGCCTGAGCAATTCTCCAAGTCTTGGCTGGCTCTGGAAGTCAGGGAGAAAATTGTACTTTACTGATTCAGCTCCAGTATTTCTCTTGACTTATTTCCTTCTTCTTTAGACCATGCTGCCTGTTGGTTGTGTGCGGATCATCCCCTACAGTGACCAGTATGAAGAGGCATATCGGTGTAACTTCCTAGGGCTTAGCCCACACGTCCAAATCCCATCCCACATATTATCATCTGGTAAGAACCTGTTACAGAACACTCTCCTTTTTCTGTCATCTTAGTTAAAGGACACAGAATCACAGAATATTAGGGATTGGAAGGGACCTCAAAAGATCATCCAGTCCAACCCCCCTGCCAGAGCAGGAACCTAAATGAGATCACACAGGAAGGCGTCCAGGCGGGTCTTGAATGTCTCCAGAGAAGGAGACTCCACACCCTCCCTGGGCAGCCTGTCCCAGGGCTCTGGCACCCTCACTGGAAAGAAGTTTCTTCTCAAGTTTAAGCAGAACCTCCTGTGTTCCAGCTCACACCCATTGCCCCTTGTCCTACCATTAGGCATCACTGAGAAGAGCCTGGCTCCATCCTCCTGACATTTGCCCTTTACATATTTATAAACATTAATGAGGTCACCCCTCAGTCTCCTCTTCTCCAAGCTAAAGAGCCCCAGCTCCCTCAGCCTTTCCTCATAAGGGAGATGTTCCACTCCCTTCATCATCTTGGTGGCTCTGTGCTGGACTCTCTCAAGCAGTTCCCTGTCCTTCCTGAACTGTGGGGCCCAGAAGTGGACACAATATTCCAGATGTGGCCTCACCAGGGCAGAGTAGAGGGGGAGGAGAACCTCTCTTGACCTACTAACCACACCCCAAGTTTTTGGTTTTTTTTTTAATTGTTAAGTATTGGCAGATAGCCTAATAATGTTGCATGAACTAAAACCTTTACCATTTTGCATTTTTTTTCCCCATATACCTGCCTGATTGGTAATTGAAAGGTTCTCACACCTGATCATATTATAGCTGACATTGAGGAAAGATTTATGCTAGGCCAGATATCGTAAGCTGACAGCACTTTGCTTTCTTGCAGCAGGGTGTGTAGCTGTATTTTAGAATCTGGGCTGGTGCAGTTAATGTTCTTTTGGGCTCTTGTCACTCCAGAGTTTGCTGTCCTTGTGGAAGTTCGCACCGCTACCCGGTCCAGCCTCTACCCAACTCTGTTTGATGATGAGCAGTCCCTCAACAAGTATGAGTTTGTTGTCACCAGTGGTAGCCCTGTGGCAGCAGATCGAGGTGGGTGATTTGAAAGCAGAAAGAACCTGTATCACTGCGATTAAAAGAACAACTTGATCTTTTAACTGTTTTTTTATGCTGTTCATGTAAGGAAGTCTGAGTAGAAAGCCAGGTCAGTATAGAACTGGGGTACTGTTGTTTGAGGTGAGGTTTACCAGAGTCTGTGTAATTATAAAGGATTTGCTTTACCTGATCAGCATTTTGCTTATTCATTTTCAGAAATGAGAAACAAATTCTGTAACACGAGTACAGTAGCAATTGTGGGGAAATTCTGTAACCCACAGTGAACATTTTATATCGTAGAATCCTTGTGTGTTTGAGTAAGTCTAACTTATGACCATGACATAACTTATCCCCCATGTTCCACCTGATAGACAAGTATGACTGATGGAGAAATGCCCAGAGGTTTTTTTTCCTCACTCTCTCTCTTTTTTTTAAATATATATTCAAGGACTTGAGTGCTTGTACCTAGGTGTGATTTGAGTCAGGTCCATGTGTCTCGTGTTTTCTGGGAAGTCTTGATTTAGATTAATTGGACTCATTGGCTGTCTCAAAAGACTTGACAGAATGATAATCCTTCCTGCTTTGTCCTCTGAAGATACAGGTGCAACACAAAGCAGAGACTTATTCCCCCTGTAGTGTCCCTCCTGTGCTCCAGCAGCTGTTACAGGTCCCACGTGTATAACTACAGTGGTCTACTTTGCATCCAACTAGTGGCATGTCCAGAATCTTCTGGATGAAAATAGTCACTGAAAGGTCTTTTCTCTGCCATGGGCTGCTTGGAAAATAGCTTCCTAGGGAATTCTGAAAAGTAGTCCAGGAAAGGAATGCCTTGGGTTGCTTGTCCTATTGTTTCTGGGACTGCTCTTAACAGGAAGAACATTAAATCAAGAATAAGTGGAGACTTTGAAATTGAGGGTTTATATTTTTTTTTATATATATATATATATATTGTACAGAGCATTAGGATATTTCATAACTTTGCATTTTTAAATGAATTTTTGATATGAGACTAGAAACAACAAAATCTGAACAATTTACGTTTAAAAGTAGGTCTCAAGAAAACAAAGGCCCCTGAACCTGTGTGCGTGTCCCAGGATCCTGCACAAAATTCCATGTTGCTTCTTGGATCAGACGTTTTTCTAGTGGGGTGATCTTTAGCTCCTCTTCCACGGCAGAGAAATCAAGGCAGGCCATTGGGGGTGTATTTTTCCACCTTGTAGAACAGGCAGGTTTCTTTCTGACTCGAGGAACATTATTATCTGTGAACTAATCAAGCCAAATCCTATGTTGAAATTGGTTGTACTGTTATTAATAGTGCAGCTTTCTGCATATAGAGGAAGCTGCATTAAAGCACTGGAACAAAATATCAGTGAAAATGAGTGCAGGCTGGTGCTCTTGAACAGAGTAACGTGTGTTCCTGTCTGTAATTCCAGCAGGTGTTGAGGCTCAGGTCACAGAATAAATGGACTAGTCCTTGCAAACAATTACTAGCAAAGGTGTGAGTGGGTAACCTACAGCTGGCGTGTCGTCTCCCTCACCCTTTTCCCTCTCTTTCTGATCCTGTAGTTGGCCCTACAATCCTGAACAAGATTGAAGCTGCCCTGACCAACCAGAACCTTTCCGTAGACGTCGTGGATCAGTGCCTTGTTTGCCTGAAGGAGGAATGGATGAAGTAAGTATGACTACATTGCTTTCAGAGAAACAGCTCTGGCACTAATCCTGGAACAGTTACGGCAGAGTAGGACACACCTGTAGTCAGGTAACTTCTGCTGTAGTACTGACAGTAGTTTGCTTTCCTCTTGGGAGCTAAGAATGTCAGAGTTTTTCTCCTCTAGTCCTAACTTTTTGGCTTTCAGCAGTTCATAACCTTTTTGCTTCAGTTCACACATCTGTAGGTTGCCTGCATGACAACACTTGTCTGCCTTATATACATTATGAGGATTAATTATGCAAATACGTATATGCCTGTCACTGTGCGCTATATTCCAGTGCAGGTAACGTGCCAAGCAGATGTCATGATTGTGCCTCAGGCACTACATTTCAAAGGTGCAAGTACTTACAAAGGAAGACCAGACAGTCATGTGAAATAATTCATGGAACGCGATGATTTTGTGAATTTACCTGAAGGCCAGATGGGCACTGGATGTGTCTCCCAGGGAGATTCCCAGTTGTCACAATTAATTGTTTTACTTTCCGCTAGAATGAAAAAATAAACTTGAATTATGCTTATTACTGCTGAAAATGAGTAATCCCCCTAACCCCAACTTTTCTTGTACTCTTCTTCCCTTCCACCTTCTTCATTCAAAGCATGAGGGTACTGTCCATGGGATATTGTTTGAAGCTTTTATTAACATTTAGTTGCAGTAGGTACCAAGAGAAGCTGCAGTTGCTGCTCATTCCCTGTTTGATGAGTACAAACCCGTTGTAATAGTGACAGGAGTTTCTTGTTTCTGCAGTAAAGTGAAGGTCCTCTTTAAGTTCACAAAAGTGGACAGCAGACCCAAGGAGGATACCCAAAAACTGCTGAGCATTCTGGGAGCTGCAGAGGAGGACAATGTCAAGCTTCTCAAGTTTTGGATGACTGGTCTGAGCAAGACATACAAGTCCCACCTGATGTCAACAGTTCGCAGCCCGACGTCCTCAGAGTCCCGGAACTAAAAGGTGCCCAAACCTCACTTGCTGCCTTCAAATAATCGCAGGGAACCCTGGGTTACCACTGCTGAGCCTGCAGCACGTGCATTAGGCGGATAGTGAAACTTCATCACTATTCTTCTGGTCCTCAAACTAACTTGAAGAGTGACTTGAGTCTTTTCTAATTGCTGTGAGACTGGACTAGTAAGTGCTAATAAATAGTGCTGCTGTCTGGCCTGAAACTCAACTCTAAATCTAGACCTCCACACTCAAGACTGAAATACAGCAACACTCAAAGAATCAGCGTGAAATAATTAAAATCCCATACTGTTCTAATTAAGCATTATGATGTGGCAGTAGGCCACAGTTTTAGATTTCTTTGGTGAGACTCAGATACCTGTGACAACATCCATAATTCCTGGGAGTGGGTATAGTTAATCTCTCCAAATCCTGTATAAATCTAAATGGCTGAGAGAACAAGAACCAAAAATAAGTGACACATCACAGGGTATGGATCACGTGTAAATTATTTCAAACCACTTTATGCTTGGATTCAAGAAGAGACTATTTTCTGCTGTAGCATAAGTCAGGATATCCTATTGGAGTCCTGTCACTCCACTTTATTTATTTGTATCTTGAGACAGTTTCAGCATTTGCTTTGGAAATGTTGTCTGGGAGGGAGAATGGTAATGTAAGAAGTCTCAAAATGCAGCCTGCTTGCATTTACCCTCTCTAGAAGGGAAAACACTTGCCTTGATTTGCCTGTGGTTGCAAAAATTTCCAGGTAATGAAGATGATAACCTCGCCAGGATAAGGTTGCTGGTGTTCTGTCTTCAGAAATAGTTTTCTAGCTTCCTCATTAAGTTAAGCAGAAAAGATTCAACTTGTAGGTGCTCCCTTCTTATATAACTCGATAGTAGCCATTTTTGCTTAATAGTTCATGGAAACATTGGTGCATTTTTTTAATTACCTAAACAGATATTACTTGTCTGTTTCTGTTGTGAATTGTTTTTTTTCTAGATCATTGTTGGGAAAACTTGACGTTACCATAGACATTTTTAACAAGCTATAGGCAGGTTTTACCCAGGTGACCTTCTACACTCATTCAAACAAGATTCAAGCTCAGAGGGGATGTTCCAACTTGTCACGAGTTCTGTTCTTATGTATAAAATATGCAGGTTGTTTTTTTTGTCCGGAACATCTGTAAAATGGTGGCAGGCATTAAATCTCATTAAGAGCTATTTTTGTAAAACGGACAAAGTCTGGTTTTGTGTTGATTGTCCATGTGTGTGTGTGTTGGGGTGGTGGAAGCGGTAGTTGATCCACGAGGATCAATTCCTGCATCATAGCCTTGATCTAGTTTACGGAATTTAACAGGTCTTTTCTTCTTAACTTTGTGTATATTTGTTTCTTGTACATATGGAGCAAAAGCTGCTCAGATATATTCATTGAAAATGCTTGACTGGACATAAAACCACATCAGGATATTCAAACAACAAACAGATGCTTTGAAAAAAGGCGTTACTCTGTCGCGCCAAAAACTAACCACTTACTTAATTTCAGGGTTCACAAAAAGGTTTGCGTTTCCCACTTGTCAGTAAGAAAACATGAGACAAAGAGGTGCTCAAGCTCTGTCCACAGGGAAGGAAGCTTTGAATAGTGTATGCATCTTGCTCCCTGTGTGCTAGGTGCTACTCTTGAGGGAAAAACAAAGCCCACTGGCAGTGGGATAATAGTTACAGAAGTTATTAGAAAAGCATGGGCTAGTGAGTCAGAATTTCCAGTACTAGGTCGGTGCTGGCTCCTGTGGCTGCCTTTTGTGTGTTCTCTTCTATTTTTCTATTTGAAAGCTCTTCTGGTCCAATTCAGAGCTGCGTAACACAACAGATTAAGACACTATTTGGCATTTAGACCTTCTCGATTGCTGAACTGTCTTTTATCTTTTAAAGACTAGGTCTCCTAAGCAATCCCTTTTTAAAACCGAGTCTCTATCTTAACAGTTGGTGTGTAAACAGCCATTAGTGAGGCCCATATTTCTGAACAGAGGTGTGGGGTTTTTTTCCTGAAACAGTGTAAGGGTGGTGATCTGGTCAAGCTTGAGGCTTCATCTTCTTTCTTCCTTACGCTTGTGTAAGTGGTGAGTTGTACGCAACGTTGATCTCTCTCGGTCCTGATCTGAAACAGAGTTGTCTCGACAACCAGAGTCTGGATAACATCATTTTTGAGCCAGGGCAAGGAAACGACTAATTTAACACATATAAAATACCCACAGGAAAGAAGGGGGAGGCTTGCTGAAGTCTGTGAACCCCTGAAACCAGCTGTGCTCGCCTGCCAGAACAGATCTATATGTGGGATTAGCAAATGATTGTCAGGGCAAGTTCCCGCAGCTCGCGGATTAGGCCGCTCATTTTGCCGTCAGCAACAGCTGGAATGCGCACGACTTTATTAACAAAAAAAGCATCTAAGTAGACATCTTTCACCACACTGCTTCCCTCTAAACAATGCGCCTTAAAGACAAACTGAGTACTGGTGGGTGACCAGTTGACCATGAGCCAACAATGTGCCCTTGTGGCCAAGAAGGCCAATGGTCTCCTGGGGGACATTGAGAAGAGTGTGACCAGCAGGTCGAGGTAGGTTCTTCTCCCCCTCTACTCTGCCCTGGTGAGGCCACATCTGGAGTATTGTGTCCAGTACTGGGCTCTCCAGTTCAAGAGAAAGAGGGAACTTCTGGAGAGAGTCCAGTGGAGGCTACAAAGATGATTAAGGGGCTGGAGCATCTTTTTTGTGAGGAAAAACTAAGAGTTGGGTCTGTTTAGCCTGAAGAAGATAAGACCTTATAAGAGGGGACCTTATAAATGTTTATCAATACCTAAAGGGCGGGTGTTTAGAGGATGGGTGTTGGTGGTGGCCAGTGAGAGGATAACAGGGAAAAGCTGGAACACAGGAGGTTTCACTTAAACA